CTCAAGTGATCTTCCGGTCTTAGCCTTTTGAATAGCTGAGACTACAGGTAGACACCACCACACTCAACTAATTTTTCTATTTTTTGTAGAGAGAGGTAAGAAATTGTTTTAAAAAATAATAAGTGTCAAATGTGAAGAGACACAGAGACTGTCAGAAGAGATTAAACAAGTAAACAACAGTATGTTTTCAGGAAGAAATGTACTTTATGAAAACAAAGGTACATTAAAAGTGAATGGATAAAGATATACCATGCTAATACTAATCAAAAGAAAGTTGAAGTAGCCATATTAATTTCAGAAAAAGTTAACCTCAGAGTAAGAAAAATATGACAGATAAAGAGGGGAATTACCTAATAACAAAGGAGTGCATTCTCCAAAAATTCATAACAATCCTTAACCTGTATGTACCCAATAATGGAGTGTCAAAATATACAAGGCAAACATGGGTAGAACTGCAAGGAGGAATAGACAAATTCACTATTATTGCTAAAAACTTCAACATCCTCTATCAGTAATTGGCAAACTCAGGAGGTACAAAATCTGTAAAGATATACTTGAACTGAATAGCATCATAAGTGAACTGGATCTAATGGACTTTTATAGGATACTTCATCAAACAAAAGAAAACTATACATTCTTCTCAAGCTCACATGGAACATTCACAAAAATAGACTATTCTGGGCCATAAAATATACTTGACCAAATTTGAAAGAATAGAAATAACGTAAAGCATGCCTTCATACTACAGTGGAATTTAACTAAAAATCAGTAACTGAAAGATGTTTCATATAACTCTATGTGCTATTGTTCAATTATTCTCTGTGCTCAAAAATAAAGTCTATTAATTATCTTTTTTAGAAATTACCATTATGAAAATGAAAAGACAAGCAACATACTAAAAGAAATATTTTCACGTTATATCTCAGTAAAGAATTTATATCTAGAGTATATAAAAATATTACTACTCAATACTAAGAAAACAAACAACTAAATTAAAACATGGAGAAAATATTTGAATAAAATTTTTGCTGAAGAAATCATATGAATTGCTAAAAGTATATGAAAATAAGCTCAATATTATTAATCAGTAAGGAATTTAAAATTAAATGCAAAATGAAATTTGATTTCACACTCAGTAGAATTTACTTTATAAAAATGGGTCAGACAAAAATGAGTGGTGCCAAAGATGTGGAAGAAAACATAACTCTTCATATGTTGCTAATGGGAAGGTAAAATAGTGCAGCCACTTTGGAAAAATATTTTTGTCTGTTTCTTCATAAGTTAAGCATATATTTGTCATAAACCCTAGCAATTCCACTTCTAGGTGTTTACCTGACAGAAATTAAAATATGTGTTTATACAGAGGGGTTTATGTGAATGCTCATAGCATCATTATTCATAATAGCTAAAAGCTGAAAACAGTCCAAAACATATCAGCTGATAAATGCATAAGGAAAATGTGGAGCAGCCATACAATGGAATGCTATTTAACAATAAAAAAGAACAAACAATTGATGCATGAACTCAAAATAATTATGCTATGTGAAAGAAGCCAGATATAAAAAATCACACATTATGTATGATCAATTTATATAAAGCTTACAGATAGAGCAAAGTTATATAAATAGGAGCTAAGTCTGTAGTTGTCTGAGGCTGACAGTGGGAACAGGGATTCATGGAAAGAAAAAAGGTAAGTGAGATCTCATTAGGGAGATGAAAATGTTCTAAAACTAGATTGCAGTAATAATTGCACAGCTCAGTAAATGTAATGAATTATTGAAATACATAATAAAATGGTGAATTTATGATATGCAAATTATATTTTAATAAAGCTGTTAAAAAAGATCATATTTTTCAAAAATAATTAGCTCTAATGTGCCTTTTCATCCATTCTCATTATTAGGAGAGCACCAATCTCTTCTGTTCAGAAACAAACGGATAAAAGTTAACCAAATTTTTTTCTTCTCAATTTTTTTTTTTTGTAGTGAGAATGCAATTTTTTTTAGTCAATGAAAAATAAATTTGAAACTTGCTTTAGACTTCATCTTTGTTTCCACATCTTCACTGGTCACAGAATGTTGTCTATCTCTCTTTAATACTCTCTGGTTTGCCTGTTCCTAGTTGTTTCTGTTGTTTCAATCAAGTCTCTATTTTATCTCACTGTTATTATTTTTAACATTTTCTAATTTCATGGCTCTAGATTTTTGAATTACATGGAGCTGAAAATAAAATTTGACAAAAGAAATAGGAATAAATTTTCTAACTATTAATTTTGTCAAGTAAGAGCATTAAAAATGAAATTAAACTACACAATCACCAATTTTTTCTCCTTGTGTAAGGCTAAGCATTGATTTAATCTCTGATTAAAGAAAAGTCATTAAAAAGCATGTGTCACCATTCCAAGCATGTGTCACACACACAAATATATAAAATATAAATATGAAAAAGTGATAAAAAAAAACTTCTGCACATTTTAAAATGAAATTATGTTCTGCTTTCTTGGTCAGTTTGGACATTCAATAAAACAATCCAAATTGGAACTTGAGTCTCGAGCATGGTAGGATCAGTATTTTCACATTGCTGTATTGAAATGGATGTAACATATTTCACAATATTTGACACAAATAAGATTATTCTGGGTGAATTTAGACAAATCAAAGAACAATAGCCTTCTAGTTTATATATTAGAATATTTGAAATTTCCAGAGTAATTGCTCAGAATCTTAGTTTTTAAAATCTCCCCACGTGGTTTTATGATCATTTACATGGGAAATCCATTGTTAGTGAGATTAACCTGTACATTATAATCACATGGAAAAATAAAAAAGTTAATACAATTCATGTCTAGACATGACCCATCAAGATTCTGAATTAATTTTTCTGGAGGGGGTCGTGGGCATCAGTATTTTATAAGAGCTTTTCAGGTGATAGTATTCTGAAGACAGGGCTAAGACCTGGTAGTCTAGAATTCGAAAATTGACGTTCACACAAGTCCTACTAATTCCTACAGTTCACACCTACTTTATTTCACTCATTGTATTATTTTCTTAGTCTTTAACAAATCTCTATAAACAAATCTGCAGGCTTTAAATACTGAACACTCTCTGCATCGGAAAATGCAGTCACTTGAAAGTAAGGATTCCAAAACCCAGAGGATGAAGGTCAGGTTGGAGAGAGAGCATTCACATTTGTGCTGGTGAAAGCAGGTTTTTGAAGACACACAGATCCAGATTGAGACCAGACCAAGGTAGTAGCTGCTTATGGGATTTATTGAAGGGAGAGTAGTCACCACAGACAAAGGAGGACAACAAAAGTAGAAAGAGAGAGAAACAAATAGCCTTAAACTATTTATGATTTTGAGCAGGCCTGAGCCTCTGTAAGAAAAGTAGATGAAAATGTTGCTTTTGGGAACCTTAGCAAATCACACATAACTTTTCCATTTTGCCTCTGATGGGAACATGTTTTATGTAATTTTGGAAAAATATATCAAGTAATAAAAACACCATCCTTAAAATTAGCACCATGGTCCTGTCACTTAATTGGATACAAATATTTGAAAACCTTAACTATCTCCTTAATTCAAATCAAACTCCTTAGCTTGGGAATCCAGGGCCCCTCATTCTCTAGCCCAAACAATCTTTGTAGGCACATATCCTGCCTCTCTCTACACATCTATTTTCTAACAACACTGCTCTTATATTTTCTTGCTTCTATAAACTTGTTCACACTGTCAAAGACATATCTATTCTTCAAACTACAGCAAAATTCTTCCTTTCTGCCCGAAGCCTTTTTGACACTTTCCTTCCTTTGGAAATAAATTGTAAAGAATTTTATTTATACTTCTTATTAACTTCATGTTCTGAATTGTCTGGTTTTGGTAAATGTTTCAGTATACAAAAATTTTAAGGCAAAAATGTTGAGAAAGTAATTTTTCTCTATTCACTTTAGCAGCCAGAAGAGGAAAAAGATATGATTGATTAACTTACTTTTCTATTCTCTCTCTCTTTTTTTCCTTTTTTTTGACTGCAGCCTGATTTCCTTCAAACATAAATAGTTTCAGCAGACACTTTCCATTTTGAATGAAGCCTAACTTTGAATCTACTCAATACAATAGCTATCATTTGGTAGTTTTCAAATTTAAACATGATAGTTCTATAAGATTAATTTTGCCAAAGTTCCAGAAATAAAATTTCATTGCACTTTTCATAAGTGAAAGATCACAGGACATAAGCTCCATATTTCCTATTATCATTTGAAGGTTAAGAATCTTCTCTCCTCTAATATTTTGTCTCTATAATGCTTGGTTTATTTGCTTTATGTGGAGAATACTATAGAATTACATTTTGTACAGGATTTTAAAAAGCTTTTAGCAGATTTCTGTCATATGATTGCGGGAATGTACACATGGATGAGCCTGTGATCACCCACTTACCTGTCTAAGGACTCATGTTCACAGTCATCCTATGAAGAATCTGGTTATACTTCTGGATGAAACACCTACCTGATTGACATCCAAAGAACATTTGCTTTCTGACATTTAAAAGTACAATGCTTAGACAGTACATATTATATGCAACCAGATTGTCTCATGAACTAGAATTGTTAAAATGCATATATCCTTGTTTTCATGGTTACTGCTGTTAAAATCATTTTAAGTTAGTCTTACATCTTGAGAGTCACACACAGTGGTACTTGGATTTCCTTCCTTAGTTGACTCAACTTGAGAGCTCTCATTGTTTCCCAGAGTGCTTTGTTGAGGCTTGAGAGAGATGGAGAGAGAAAGAAAGAGATCATTAAAAACAAGAGAAATAGGTTAAATATATAGTTATATGGTTATAGTAACACAGGATACAATAGCAAGCAAAATTGTACTCAGAGAACTTAAAAATTGTACCTTAAAAATTCTTAGCTTTTTAATCAAATAAAATACTTTCTACTGAATTTTGCATTAGTTGTGTTCAATGGGATTACTTTTCTACTGAAATCATTTATGCCTTCCATAATAAGTGTTTTGTTTTATTTTAAGGATCCTAGTCCCTCAAACAGTAAGAATGTTTTCCTTTCTCTTTAACTGCAGTATATCTGAGAAATAATGAAGGCCCATATCATTTTTTCAGTTAAAAAAATGTTTTATAATACCTCATAATTTACATAGTGAATTATATTTACTCCAATGCTTCACAAACTAATCAAACTCTTCTTTGCACCTATGTAAACCCTAAATTATTCTATAATTCTATTATTTCATAATTCATCACTTTAGGAACACTAAATTTAAAAAGAAAAAAAAAAAGAAAGCAGATTTCTGGTTCTGGCCAGAGAGGGTGTGCCATACCTAAGGTATGTAAATATCACTATAGGCAGGTCTAAGATTATCCACTCAAAAAGTGTGCATTTCTTGTGCAGAACTGATTTAAATATTAATGTTACACTAATTAATCCATGAAGGTACTGTTGAAGGATAGACAAAAGTAATTGTTGAACACTAATTTGCCTGAGTCTGAAACTTTTATCACAGTGGATTATGGGGTAAGAAGAAATGCTGTTTGTAACCATTGGTGGCACAGGAAGAATAAAACTGACATGTCAAATTTCAAGTTAAATTACTCAAACTTCACCCAGGTTTTCCACCTGTAATACTTTCTACTTTCTACACAACACAATACTCCCTTAGTTTTCCAAAGGCAATTACATTATCTAGTAGGGGAACATTCTCACAAAATAATATACTTATAAAAATCAGAACCAAGGATAGTTAATAAAGATAATAGAATATTAAATATAAAAATATTATTAATAAAACAATTTGATATTAGAAAAACAGAAATAAAGCAACTAAGTCCACTAAAATAGTTTCTATATAAAGTCACCCAAAAGCTGGGCTCTGGGTATAACAAAATTACATACATACATAAAAAAGTAAATAAAGTAAATACAATCCTTTCTATCTATACTTTAAAAAGTTTAACTTCATCGAATGAATTCCAGAAGTCACTTAGTGGTTTCCTTTCTCATACTCCCTCTTTTTTTCCCATCCTTTCTTTATTCTGGATTCTTACCTCTGATTTACCCTATGTATCTCTATAAATAAAAATATAATTAATAATCCTACAATTTATATGGAACCACAAAAGATCCAGAATAACCAAAGCCATCCTGAGCAATTAAACAAAACTGAAGGATAGTATTATCTGATTTTAAATTATCCTACAAACCCGTAGTAACAAATTCAGCACAGTATTGAGATAAAAACAGACACACAGAACAATGGGACATAATAGAGAATCAAGAAATAAATCAACACACCTATAGTGAACTCATTTTTGACAAACTGCCAAAAACATACATTGGGGAAAAGACAGTTTCTTTAATAAATGGTGCTGGGAAAACTAGGTATGCATATGCAGAAGAATGAAATTACACCCCTACCTCTGGTTGTATATAAAAATTAAATCAAAATGGATTAAATACATAACTCTAATACCCAAAACTATGAAACTACTAAAAGGAAACATTGAAGAAACATTTTAGGACATTTATCTGGGCAAGGACTTCTTGAGTAATATTCCCAAAGCTCAGGCAAAAAAAGCAAAATTAGACAAATAGAATCACATCAAGCTAAAAGCTTCTACATAGTAAAGAATATGATAAAAAAGTGAAGAGATAACACTCAGTATGGGAGAAAATATTTGTAAATTAGCCACTAGCAAGGGATTGATAACTAGAATATATAAGGAACTATAATAGTTCAATGGGAAATAATCAAATAATTAGATTATAAAATGGGCAAAGAATCTGAATGAACTTTCTCAAAAGAAGACATATGAATGGCCAACAGGTATATAAAATAATGGTCAACATCACTAGTCATCAGAGAAATACCAATTAAAACTAAAAAGAAGGCTGGGTACGGTGGCTCACGTCTGTAATCCTAGCACTCTGGGAGGCGGGCGGATTGCTAGAGGTCAAGAGTTCAAAACCAGCCTGAGCAAGAGCGAGACCCTGTCTCTACTATAAATAGAAACAAATTAATTGGCTAACTAATATATATAGAAAAAATTAGCTGGGCATGGTGGCACATGCCTGTAGTCTCAGCTACTTGGGAGGCTGAGGCAGTAGGATCACTTGAACCCAGGAGTTTGAGGTTGCTGTGATCTAGGCTGACTCCATGGCACTCACTCTAGCCTGGGCAACAAAGTGAGACTCTGTCTCAAAAAACAAACAAAAAAACCTAAAATGAGATATCATCTTACACCAGTAAAATGGTTTTTATTCAAATACAAGCAATAATGAATGCTGATGAGAATGTGCACAATGGAGAACTCTCATATACTGTTGATGAGAATGTAAATTAATTAATGCAAGCACTATGGAGAACAGTACTGAGTTATCCATATAGTAGAACGACCATATGACCCCGCAACCCAGTGCCAGGTTTATATCCCAAAGAAGAAAATTAGTGTTTTGAAAAGATATCTATACTCCTCATGTTTATTGCAGCACTACTCACAATGGTGAAGATTTGAAATCAACCTGAAATCAACCTAACCTAAGTGTCCATCAGCTGATGAATGGATAAAGAAAATGTGGTACATATATACAATGGAATATTATTCAGCCATAAAAATGAAATCCTGTCATTTGTAACAAAATGGGTAGAACTAGAGAACTTTATTTTAGTTTTTATTTTATTTTATTTTTTTGAGACAGAGTCTCATTTTGTTGCCCAGGCTAGAGTGAGTGCCGTGGGGTCAGCCTAGCTCACAGCAACCTCAAACTCCTGGGCTCAAGCAATCCTGCTGCCTCAGCCTCCCGAGTAGCTGGGACTACAGGGATGCGCCACCATGCCTGGCTAATTTTTTCTTTATATATTAGTTGGCCAATTAATTTATTTCTATTAATAGTAGAGATGGGGTCTTGCTCTTGCTCAGGCTGGTTTGGAACTCCTGACCTCGAGCAATCTGCCTGCCTCGGCCTCCCAGAGTGCTAGGATTACAGGCGTGAGCCACAGCGCCCGGCCTGAGAACTTTATTTTAAATGAAATAAGCCAAGCACAGAAAAACAAATATCTCATGTGCTTGCTCATATATAGGAGCTAAAAATGAAAACAATTGATCTCACGGAGATAAAGAGTAGAGTGATGGTTACTGGATGCTGAGCAGGGTAGAAGGGAATAAAGTGAGGATGATTAATGGGTGCAAAATATGGATAGACTATTTGATAGTACAACAAAATGACTATAGTCAATAATAAGTTATTTCATCCTTTAAAATAACTAAAAGAGTGGACTGGGATATTCCTAACACAAAGAAATGATAAATGCTTGGGATAATGGATATCCCAATTACCCTAATTTGAATATTAAATATTGTATGCCTTTATCAAAATATCACCTGTACCTTAAAAATATCCAGCTATTATATACCCATAATTAAAATTTAAACAATTAAAAAGATAAACAGAAAACAAAATTTCTACCTTTTGATCCTATTAAAATTCTTTAATAAGCTTTGGAGTTAGCTTTTAAATCAAGCCAATGAACAATCCAGTGTTCTTTGTTGGATGCCTTTGGATTATACAAAGTTAAAAATGCTGTTGTCTTCACAAAGTTTATACAATCTGATGATTATTCATATAAATAACTCTAATAAAAAGCACATTATGTAAAAGGCAACATAATCAGGGTTGTATATATTTTGAAAAGATGGAGGCCAATTCCATTTGGAATAATAAGGAAAGGCATAGTAGAAAGGGTCATCTTTAAAATGGGCTTCTGAATGAATGACTAAGGCAAGAATGAGGGAGGGCCTTCCAGCTGAGGGGAAAATTTTAAGCAAAGACATGCAGGAATGAGTCAGTTTTTGGCATGTTGGTTTACAGGGTAGGAGTACAGTAGTCATGAAAGAATGCGCTACAAAATAGAGAGGAGTTCCCCAAATCGAGCCACAAAGATTGCACTTAATTTAGTGGCCAAAGAGGAGTCCCTTGACAATTTAAAAAAAGGGATATAATATGGTTAGAAATCCTGTCAGTATGATGTGGCAAAAGTGTATCGGTGAGAATGAAATAAGGAAATTAAGGTGGGAAGGCTAATATAGAAGGGATTAAAGTGATCAGGCAGATGGTGACAAAGAATGAACTGAGGTGTCAATCCTGGTGATTGAAAGGAAATTGGACAATACTTATATGAGAACAAAGGTTAGAATCTATGAAATGTGAAGAATTCCACAGAAATACAGAAACCTGAAGAAAAGGCAGCTTTGCAGCATGAAGGGTGATTTTATATTATTAATAGAGAGTTTAAAGCACCTGGGACTCCTAAGTTAATAGATACTATTGGATAGCAGTGTTATAAACAATATCATTCTTAACAAGAGTCAAAACAGCTATTTATTCTAGCTAAAATCTACTGAACGTCCACCATCTGTCTTCTCATAGCCCTTTACAGATGCTTTGAGGAAACAGGTTGAAAAGAACAAGAGGAATAAATAAACGCTAACACTGAAGGAAAGTCTCCCCGGCAGTCACGGCAAGAACCACAGCTGCAACCACATGAAGAATGGATTAAATCACACTAACAGGCCAGAAGTGATTTAGTATATTTGAATTATCAGAACAATCAGATAACTCAATAAATAGTCCCAGAATTTCCTTGTAAATTTCTTTTAATATATAACAGCATTAAAGAAAATTTAAAAATAAAACTTGTCCGTTATTCTACCAATAACTATTTTTATTTCTCAATGTTGTCTACCAGTC